GCCCTTTCTGCGATGTCGCTCAGACGTCCGACTGTGGCATTTCTTTTAAAGCCCTTTCTGCGATGTCGCTCAGACGTCCGACTGTGGCATTTCTTTTAAAGCCCTTTCTGCGAAGTCGCTCAGACGTCCGACTGTGGCATTTCTTTTAAAGCCCTTTCTGCGATGTCGCTCAGACGTCCGACCGTGGCATTTCTTTTAAAAGCCCTTTATGTGGTGTCGCTAGGATGCCCGACTGTGGCATCATTTCCTTATTTTTTTTATTTGTTCACCCTTCGAGGCGTCGCTTCAGACACCCGATCGATCCTTATTTATGTTCTGTGGAATTTCAGGCGGACTACCGCCGTTTTCCATTTTTACTCACCCGTTATGCCAATTTTATTTATTGTGCATTAATGAATTAATCATGTTGCATCCATGCATGCATTTGTTATATCTTACGTCCGAACTGTCTTGCAAGTACTTTCAAAGTACTCACTGGCTTGTTGATTTGGCCAGATGCTGACGAAGGCGATCTCATGGATGAAGAGTTCGATAGCGAGTCCGACACTTAGAGGAGTCCCAGTCAGTCTCGTGCGACCCTGGATTTGGCCACTGTTTTATATCCGCTTCCGCTACCAAATAAATTCATCGAGCCTCTCCTCGACGCTCGATGAGATGACAGACGTAGAGTCTTGTATTTCTCTCCCCGCTGTGTTTTTCCACCACCAGCCTATCCTTGAGTCAGTAGTATGTCTCCACACCACTGTGTTCTGTCCGCCATTATGTATGATTATTGGCGTGCTTATAATAATTTGGTTGAGCAACCGTAGTTCGACCCTGTAATATATTTTATGCTACTGGCTTATTGTATCAAGAATTTGTCTGTCAGTGTGGAGGATTTCTCTCATACTGGACTCAAAAGACTGGTTTATCAATAAAAATTTTTATTGGAAAACCGGTCGTGACACTTTGCATGCCTACTTGATATGTATTATGATTGTTAAACTTGTGCCAAAACTCCACTTCAGCTTAAAGAAATTAAAAACTGTAACTTTTGGTACTTAGTGTCTAATCACCCCCCCCCCTCTAGACACCTCTTCTCGATCCTCTCAACCCTCTTTCAAGATGTTTATGAAAAATAAACGAGCCGAAGGCGAGCAGGAGCGGCCTCGCGCCGGAGGCGCTGTGTGCCACCGCGATGACAAACGCACTACACGACCAATACACACTCCAACGTATGCCCCCCTTCAAGATGTTTATGAAAAATAAACGAGTCGAAGGCGAGCAGGAGTAGCCTCGCGCCAGAGGCGCTGTGTGCCACTGCGACGACAAACGCACTGAACAACCAACACACACTATGACCTATGACCCCCTTTCAAGATGTTTATGAAAAATAAACGAGCAGGAGCGACCTCGCGCCGGAAGCGTTGTGTGCCACTGTGACGACAAGCGCACTGGACAACCAACGCACTGCATGACCAACACACACTTCGACCTATGCCCCTCGTCAAGATGTTTATGAAAAATAAACGGCCGAAGGCGAGCAGGAGCAGTCTCGCGCCGAAGGCGCTGTGTGCCACCGCGACGACAAACGCACTGCACGATCAACGCGCTGCACGACCGCTGGTCTTAGTCTGCAAGCTGATACAACTCATGCCTCTCTGGTACTATACGCTTGTGCCTCTACAAAATTTGTAGCCATGGCTTGAGAAACTGCACGTCCGTGCCTGTAACAGAGGCTTCATTCACATTGGTTTGTCTCTACGCTGGACACCCATGCTTGTAGACTCTTCACGACCGTGCCTCAACATGATTCCCACCTGAGTGTCTGTATGATAAAGTTCATGTTTGCTTACTTGAAAGGTGACATTTGAAGTATTGGAAATCCCTACCCGTGGTTACTCCATAAAACTTCATTTCTCGAAAATATAGTAAAAACAAAAAGGGAACAGGGAACCAACGACGCAGTTGCCTGGTATTTTGTGTCTCTTATCACGTGGAAATGGAAAATTAAAGTAGTTGGTGGGTTAAACTGCAAAATGCACCAAACCAAAAACAAGAAAGGGAAACTAGGAACCAAGCGCATTGACTGATTTTCCCTCACGGAAGCGCTCCGCATGCGAGTCAGTCTCGCACGCGGAGCCATCCCGAACCGTTCGTTTGGAGCGCTTCGAAGGAGCGCTCGTCGGCTAGTTGCTCCCTGGTGCCTCACCCCATAATGACGGCGGGAGCTATATTTCTTGCTCGTACCAAGGCGTAACTCGGTGTGGCCTTTCGGCCGACTGAGTACTTTAGCGGCTCTAGCTCGTGTGTTTTATTCTTTTCTTTTTTGTGTTTTTTAATGAATTTTCACCAGTTGCATTGGTTTTTCTTCTTTGTATTTTCTTTGGTTTTTTCTGTTTCTTCAATTTTCTCTTTATTTCTTTCTTTTTATTTTTTCAACACATGTCCACTTTTTTCATATACCAGATAGTACATTTTCTATACATGCTTAACATGTTTTCAATATGTTTTTTGGACACAGCAGACGTGGACACTCATACATACACACATACACTCATCAATTTGTATTGCACGCAGACACACCCTTCTCCTATGAGCATCTCCGAGACATTGAGCTGGGACCTTATCTTGATATTGATGAAGTCGCCACAGACGTCTTCGTAGTCGACGGGAGCGTCTACTCCCACTCTGTGCACATCGCCGGAAGGCCTAAAATAAATTCAGGAAAATGCGAGCAGCAATGCCAAGTCTAGAACTTCAACCTTGATGGGCTGGGGATGCCACTGTCTTCCTAACCATCCAACGTTGATTCGCAACATTTTTCCAATACATGATTAACATTTGTTGAATATATGTTTTGATTTCTACTTTTTTTTCATACACATTGTATATTTTTTAATACATCTAATACATATATATACATGTTTAACATTTTTAGAATACATGATATTTTAACCTCTTTTGAGTACGTGAAGAAAATCAAATACGCGTTGAAACCTGCTTTAAAAAGATCAGAATGGTTTTTAACTATGCAAACATTTGATACATTGTATATATTCTTCTCTTAGAATTGTTACTTTCTTTTTAAACACGTGAACAATTTTCTAAATGTATCGTATTTCTTTTTGAATGGTATGAAACAGTTTCTACAACTGCACAAACATTTTTTATATTGAATTTTTTGTTTTTTGAGAAAATCTTGCCAACCTTTATTAATTCAAAGTAATGTCCATAGGTGCAACTGTTGGGTCATGAGGATTGCCCAACCGCACATGTCATGTAGCAAGATTACAAGCAAATTTAGCTAGACTCGAAATTGAAGTTCTGGATTCATGGATGAAACTACAGAATCTGGGTTCATGGATGAAACTACAGAACTGGAAACAGCTTTACGTTCTAATATTTTAGCAGCATGGGGACCACCTGTAAGAGCCGACATGCAACTTGCGACTGTATGCAATTGTACACCAATGGGCTGGCCCACCCACGCAAGCTCACGGATCGCTGGGGAAAACGATGGCTGAGCCCAACCCAGCGCCTCTCGCGCAGTCCACCACTAACGGCCAGACAGAGGCACGTGTCAAAAAACAGACAAGGCAATTGCCACTCAAAAAAAATCAGACAAGACAGTTAAACAGGAGATGTGGCACTTATTATGCAGCAGCACCTGTTAAGATGCAGGAATTTCACGAGAAATCCGGGGAGCATCTGTTTACAAGAGTTTTTCAAAATTCACATGCTCCAGTGTTACCCAGTAAAAAGACAACAGCCAAACTTGACAGGTACGCGGAACCCCTCAAGGAAGGCAAACACCAACTGCAAATGTTAGGAGCACAAGGCAAGTGGAAAACAATGCAAAACATGGAGCTAAAATACTTTCAACATATTAAGCTAAGCCTAAAAAAATAATCTGCCTTCTAGAGCACTAAAAAAATGCCTCTTCCAGCTTACAAACTGCCATCTCCTGACACAAGTCAAAAGAGAAGGAAGGAGAAACCCTACACTACCTAAAGCATAGCAAAGCAAGGCAAACCCCTAAACAAACTTTTACAGATGCGCAACGGAGATGAAGCAGCACACGAAACCATCCTATTATCATCATTCACCTCAACCAGGCTGCAGAAGGCTATAGCTCGCTGACACCGACTCATCCATCGCTGGCTGTATAAACGCTAAACAATCAACAAATAGCTGGACCATATTTACCAAGAAGGTATCTACAGAAAGCCTGTGTTATTGCACTTGATCATCATGTCCTGTTGCCGAAATGAAATCGATTGCTGACAACAAGGTTTTCTGCAAGCAGAAGGATGGGAGTCTTGATGGCTTTGGCGTTTGGAGAGACAGACTCGGGGAGACTGGGCAAGCAGCTTGGTAGATGTTCACCGTGCTCCTCAGCATGAAAATAGAAGAAGACTGCTCGACAGAAAATAAACCTGACGACATATAAGGAAGAATATTAACACTTGACATAGAGAATCAACAGTGTCTAGTGTGCAGGACAAATAAATGTCCTCTAAGATACAATGGAATCTTCGTTTGAGAAACAAAAGTAAATAAAACATAAGATATGCGACAAAATTTATGTAGCAAGCCAACCATATTGCCAGGATTGAACTTAGCTAGTACCCGTACCTACATGTAACTGTTCCCTGGTCCCTACACAAATGGACAAACCTAAACAAAATGCAGTGCTGATAGTCACTGCATTTTTGAAGCCCAAATAACTTACACACTGAGATGCGATTTAAAGAAAGGACTACAAATAGACAAGCCACTTTCTATAAGATCATGTTAAATTACTGATTTCATACTTTCGGTGCAGTCGGCGCGATTTAACTCTTTAATACAAAAAATAGTAGTAGTATGATGATGAATTTTAAATGCAAACTTGTTCTTTTTTCCCATCAAAAGAGGGTGCATGCGAACAATATGGATAACCAGTTAATGCTTCAAGATATGTTTACATGTTATACTGCCAAACAACATAGAACTGCCAGAAACTCAGGGATGGAAGGTATGGATTGATGTACCTGAGAATCAGGCGCCTGAGAAATGGATCAGGTAAAATTTGACCCCAGACAATGTTCAATCCGACAGACGTGCTGAGGATTTCTTCATACTGTTCCAAAGCAGAGAAAAGTATGTTCTCCGCATTAGCATATGTATCCTGAAATCAAGCCCAAAGAGATCAGACAGTCAAAACAAATATCTCAGGTATACTCAACTCATCAAAAAATAGAACATACGCTGTCAATGTCGGAAGTTATTCCAGCTAATTGGCAGAACGCTTGCATCGGAGCAGTCAGGAAGTATGTAAATTGACCTCCATTGCCCATAGATTCTACACCAGGCATGGCCGATGCAATCCTGGGAGAAAGAAGTAAGGCAGCTGGCTCTCCCTTCTCTGCATCATGTATGGCCTGGCAATTATACAAGCAAATGATAATTTGTTCGAGAAAATTATTCCTGCATTATTACTACAAAAGGAATGGAGAAAGAACCACTTCACGAAATTACAACAAGAATTCCTTTGTAATGACTTCATGAGATAAAATGAGCTGTTATAGAGAAAACCTATTCCAGAAATTTTACCAATCAAAGCAATATAACTATGTGCAAGGAAAACAAGTAGCCAAAAAAGATAAGGAATCAACATGTTGGCTTTACGTAAAGGCTAGTAACAAGGGCAAGTTTGGATGTTTTCTGTATGAAAGCAGTATGGTTATAATACTATAGAGTTGAGTTCACTACAACTAGAGCCCAACCTTCTCAGTTCTCACAATATGTTATATATATACTCCCTCCGTTTTTATTCAGAGCGCATATTAGCTTTGGTCAAAGTCAAGCTTTCTAAACCTTGACAAAGTTTATAAACAAAAATATTAACATCTACAATAACAAATCAATACCATTAGATTCATTATTGAATGTACTTTCACATCATATAGATTTGTTATGGTAAATGCTTATATTTTTTTCTATAAACTTGGTCAAACTTTATGAAGTTTGACTTCAGTCAAACCTAATATGCAGAGTAAATAAAAAACGGAGGGAGTATATATGATCCCTTATCATCAGTGATGACCAGTTAATAGGCTGATAAGCAGCTTAATCTTTGTTTAGTGGTTTAAAGATCAAGGAGACATTGAATCTGTGGACCCCCACTGGATAATACTGCCAACTATGGAGATGCTTCCACTTAAGAAGCAAATGAGAATGTCTGACCATTCAGATCAAGTACTCCCTCCGTTCCTAAATATAAGTCTTTTAGACATGTCAAATGGACTACAACATACGGATGTATGTAGACTTATTTTTGAGTGTATATTCACTCGTTTTGCTCCGTATATAGTCACTTGTTGAAATCTCTAAAAAGGACTTATATTTGGGAACAGAGGGAGTAATAGAATTCATGCTAATGTGAACTACTCCCTCCGTTCCTAAATATAAGTCGTTGTAGAGATTCCACTAAGTGGACTACATACGGAGCAAAATGAATGAATCTACACTTAAAATGCATCTATATACATCCGTATGTGATTCATAGTGAAAACTCTACAAAGACTTATATTTAGGAACGGAGGAAGTACAAAGAAAGAAAAAGATGCATACATATAATCTGGTAGTTAAGAAACAACCAAAAGCTCATGCATCATGGTAACAATTTTTCTACCAAGCCAAGAATAAGTTCTGACAAACCTGCCTTGAATGCATGGCTATTTTCACTGTCAATTACAAGGAAAAGTGGATATCTTGTAAATGGTATCAGATCTTCTGGATAAAGATTGTTTGGACCTGGAAAAATGATAATCCTATCGATGTGAGAAAACACACAATCTAGTCGCCCACCAAACCATAATTAGTGCACTTAATTGACAACTAACATTGTCATGCGACATAGACATATAGTTCCGTCAGTTATATGAGAAAGCGGAGCATACCACCATTTCCACGAGGACCAAGCCATACATGATCATCTGAACTGGCATGTGAATTTGGCTTATCGATTAAGAAAGCAGAAGCAGGCCTTGAGCGTGATGTGGAGCTAGATGCATACTTTTGATAAGCATTCTGATCAGCAAGGCCTGGAAGGATAATGTTGGAAGTTAGAAGGGAAACCTAATCAAAACAAGAGTGCAACATAAATTTGATGTCAAATACAAAAAGAACCTGATGCTGATATATAAATGAGCAAAATGCTATCTTGAGAAAGCTCCTCGCAGATTGTGGCAAGAACCTGCAATTACCATTCATGAACTGGATTTAACACCGAGGAATCTTGTGGCAGAAAGAGAGAAAAGAGAACAATGCAGATCGACATTATAAGTTGCCTCTGTCCATATGACTCGAGGTGTCTCTCAAGATCTAGTAACGTATTACCCACATAAATTATTAACTTATTATTAGCAATTTGTAGGAAGGCAGGAACATCTCCATGTGCAATTTGCCAATTTGGCAGTGCCTGTGCCGAAAACTGGTAAATTCTGAACATTAGCCTAGAAGGAAATATTTCTAAAGGCAGCACCATTAGTAGGAAGGGCTGAACATCTCCATGTGCAATTTGCCAACTTGGCAGTGCCTGTGCTCGAAATTTGATGTTCAGTTCTGCTAACAATCATAACATTACTATGCCTATTTACAAGGAGATGTGTTCTAAAGACAATATTATTGATGACCATGCCTTTTTCAAATGCATCTACTCGAAACTTGGATATTCAAACGTTCATCCAACACTCGTAAAGGGAAAAGGGAAAAGGTATACACTCCTATGCACATTGGCAAATCAAGTGAAACTTTAAACTCGTAATTCTTTTAAATATATCTCTATGGGTTATTGGGTTGCAGCAAACAACCACGTTCGCAAGCAGAACTGCAACATCACAGAGCTGAAAATCTTCTAATGACTACTCGGTCAGTAACACAACATAATGAGCATACCACAAAATGCATGTATCCCAGGGTTGAAAATGTGCAAAGACAACTTAAGAAAGTATGACCGCATCAAGCTCACAGTGAGGAGCAAAGGCTGGCCTGCCAACCATGTTGCAGCAAGGATGCAGGAAATCATCTGATTGTACTAACTATTTTTAAACAATTCTACTTAACTTATCCTCAGTTTAATATAATTTATCATTGCTTTATTTTATTTCATATCAACAATATGATACTACTCCCTCCGTAAAGAAATATAAGAGCGTTTAGATAACTAAAGTAGTGATCTAAAGGCTCTTATATTTGTTTACAGAGGGAGTATATCGCTTCTATGGTTGAGTCACCCACCGATGCATGATATTTGTGGACAATAGAAACAAAGTGTACACAGCGTTATTTCACCAACCAAATCACAAACATCGACCATATTATCAGCATCCAGTCTGTCAAATGGTCAGCATGCAACATTATTTAATGCTGTTCTCAAGACAGGAATCCCACAAAACTTATATGCGATTATGCAAAACTTTAACTTTAAAGGGGGGTGAAGCAATTTTGAGAAGCGACCTACCGCTATAAGATGAGAGACTGTAGGGTGATATATGATTGCTCTTTGAGGATTTGAAGGAAGATTTCCATCAGAGATCTCTGTAGAAAGGTGAATATCGATCAGACCAGAGGGTCCACTCTGATCACTCATAGTGCCATTTTCTGTAAGTTCTTTAACAGCTATCTGATAAGACCCTGTGGGCTCCCATTCTAAAGACTGTAGCATTCTGAAAGTGTCCAAAGTTAGCTCTGTGAACTTGACCTGCAGTACATACAACGTCATTATGTGAGGGAGCTGATCAGCATAGTATCAAAACATGTGATAACTAGAGGAATAAAAAAAATTATGAAGGGGTAATATGAGTAACCTCATTTCGGTGGTAACTTGTCAATACAGCTTCCTTCAGTTTCAGTACTCTTTTCGAATGGAATCTTGCTATTGATGCAAGGTTTGATGCATAAGAATCAAACAAGTTGTCGTATCTAAGTGATCTAGATCCCTTGTATGCTCCATCAGCTTTCAAGAATCTCTCAAGCTCTTGAAGCACTTGTTTCCATTCCTTGAAGTTGGTTTTCTAAGAAGAGGTCACGTTGTAAGGAAGAATAAAATTATAAGCAAAACAGGCTTAAAATGTCCTAGTGTACTGAAATGAATAAAGAAATAAGTGGGTGAAACGCACACAAAGAAGTACATGACGATAAGTTGCACAATCCAAAGCTTTCATGTAGCAAAGCAATAAAATATTCATTACTCGCTCCTTATGCATAGGTTCATTGATGTGTCGCTTGGTACTACTATGTACCCCTAATAGGTCCATTGCTGTCTTAAATTGAGAAGGTGGCACAATTCATCCATCATCTCATCCGCGCACAATCCAAAAATTACAAATCCTAAGGGTAAGGACTCATTATTACTTGACAAGCTCAGATCACCACCGACTCAAACACCAAGCAACAAGAAAAGAAGAATCCGCTCGAACCCTCTCTTTCCATGATCAGTAATCCTCCATAATACTCAAATCTACTGTACATTAATACAGAGGGATACTTATGCTCTTCTGTAACTAAACAGCAGAGGAGCGTGAAGCAACAAAAAACGAGAGGAGCAGGATAAGTGACACGAGGCCAAAGGGGATTGACGCAGTAACTCAAACTGAATTCCACGAAAACAAGCACTCGATTGAATAGCAAAAATTTCTGGCAAACAGGTGATGAACACCAAGTTGTTAAGAAGAAGAAACATAGTACTACATTCGTTCAATAATGAAGAGGGCAGCCATGTCCTGCTTCCCAAAGTAATAACCCCCAAAAAGAAGACCTAAACGCGTCATTTAACTCAGGCTCCCCCAATCCAAAGCACACGCAGCGCAGGAGAAAAGCTTCTTACGGGATAGGCCGACTTGGATTCCTGGACGAGCGAGCGGAGGCGGGCGACGAGGTGGTCCACCGCCTCGGCCCGGCGCATGAGCATGGCAACGACGAGGAAGCGGGCGATGAAGCGCAGCTCCTTGTAGCGGATCAGGAGGCCCTGGTGCTTGGCGCCGCCCCCCGCGGCCGCGGAGGCGTTGGCGTTGGCGGGGGCGGCGAAGTAGCCGCGGCTGTAGATGGCCTCGTAGAAGACGTATGCGCCGACGAGCGAGCGCGGCTCGGCGGTGCGGAGGTAGCGCGCGTAGTAGAGCTGGCCGATCCGCGAGGCGACCTCGCCGATCTCCCAGCGGCGGAGGCCCGCGGCGACGAGGTCCCGGCGGCGGTCCTGCTGCAGGCGCCAGAGGCGCGTGTAGGCCTTGAAGGCCTTGCGGCTGTGGTGGTCCCCGCCGCCGTAGAGCGGCAGGTCGCGCGCGCGCGCGAACTTGCGGTCCGCCGCCTCCACCAGCGCCTTGAACTCCCTGTACGCGCCGGAGGGCTCGCCGTCGGCCATCGCCGGCGGGCGGGGCGGGGCGGGGGAGGCGAGGGCGCGCCCCCTCCCTGTCTGTCTGCCTGCCTGTCCCTCCCTCCCCGCTGTCCTTTGGATTCGGGCGGCGAACGGGCGGAGGACGCGGTGAGATGGCGACGGTGGGGAAGAGAGAGAGAGAAAAGAGAGTGATAAAAGGGGCAGTTCGTTCGAGAAGCGGTAAAAAGCAGTGGACGAGTAGTACACGGGGGTGAGCTGTTGTTTTACTGCGCGGAAACGCTGTCATCTCTCATCCGGGGCGCTAATTGGGCTCTCATGGGTCAATCATCTGAGCTTTTGTTTATTAATCGCTTACCTTCAGTCAGTGTGGGCGGTGTGTGGAATCCATGTCACCGCTGGCAAAGTCCCGGTGGTTGACCGAGGTGAAAGCGAAAAGGATACGCAGTGACAGGCAGAAAATGCAGCGGATTTGTTGGACCCAAAAGGCACGGAGAATTGACCTCCGACTAGTTCTGTCAGATACTGTACGTGTTTAGTCTCTTCGGCTCGATTCGGGATGGATCTCCATCCGAGAGCTAGCGACGACGACGATCCAGGGAAAGGGAATGGCGTGAAATTCAGTTGTGAACCCACCGATGATGCCTCCTCGCTCAGTCTTTGAGTGGACTCGCTCAACGTACGACGCTAGTTTGACGTTGGTAGTTCCCTAACTTTATCAAGATTTCTGCACTACTATTCCCTTTGCATTGCATCGCTGTGGACAGTGGAGGCAGCTGGGCAGGTATTTCTTGTTTGTTTTCTATGTCTCGTCAGAGTTTGGTGAAGGAAGGCCCTTTCTCTTTATTAACGCTCGCAGTCAGCGACGGATATTCTAAGTTTCTAACCACCACAACTGCCTCGCACACTTGTTAATAATTAACAAAAGAGGAGAATCGGAGAATATACACTTTGCTCTGAGCCATCAGCTGTCTCACTAATCCAGTACCAGCAGCACTAATGGCACCTTTTAACTTTAAGAAATCGAAAGGGGGCTGGCTAAACTGTTGCGATAGCGCAAAGAAACTCTGTGTGTCGATTAAAGTAGGAACCATCATTCTGCCTGAGCGAGGATTCATTCAGCGGTAAGAAAACGCAGCGAGTATCCTCCCTCTGCCTCTCCGGTCGGTGGGTGCAGCCTTGCAGTTGCAGGTGGCTGGCTGGGTGCCCGTGCAATCATTCGGCGCCCAGCCCAGCTGCCCCAAATCTTTGGCTGCCTCGCTTGGAACAGGCTGGCGTGGCGCCGCGGTGCTGGATGCCGGGGTCATTAACAAATCGGTTTAGGCTGGGAATCTCTGACAGGGCTTTAAAAGGCTGCTGCGACGTGGAGATTAGGCCAGGATTAGCTGAGCTGCGCTGAGCTGACCGGCGGCTGCTTTACGCCAACGATTCCCTCAACTCCCGGTAAACTTTACTGCCTGTGCCTGGGCTTGGTTTCGTCCTGGTCCCGCGCGGCGCGACCGGTAATTAGGGCGTGAGTCGGGTTTGCTCGTGGTTTTTTTAGGTGAAACTAGGGTTTTATTCATCAACCAAAACCGACGGAATCTCTATTTTTAATGGAGCAGTTGGTAGTCTCGCTTCCAGGTTTTTTTTCGTCCCACCACTTTCGTCCGGTTTTTTTCGTAGGTTAACCGTCGTAGATTTTTTTCGATGCTGGTTTCTTATTCACCCGTTTATTTACCCCTCAGCTCTTTCCTTGCAAATCAGCACTTTTCAAACGTGCACGCAATCACGGATCTAAATTTACTAACTTATCCAAATCAACCGATACCTTCCATTATTGCAAATTTCTTTAGGAAACAAATAATAGATTTTAAGGAAACAAATAAAAGATTTTAAAGATGCATCATACTTTACTAACAATCACTAAAAATCAAATCTAAATTAATTAACCTTACCTTACATCACTCAATCACTTTAATTAGAAAACATTTTCTTTCCTAACTGCACCCCGCTTAGTGTGCACATAACAATCCGAAGTAATTAGAGTCACAAGATTGAATCCATTTATTTAGAGTGACATGATTGAATTCATTTATTAACAATAATCCTCACCAAAAGTGCGTTTAGCAATTTTAGAGGGCGGACCAAAACTCTGCCATCCGCTCGCCCGCGTTTGTTTAGGTACAGGAAAAAATGGCATAATATATGGAAACAACACGACCGGGGCGGCGGCGCAATCTTCGGGGATAGGGGATCGGAGGAGAAGGATTGGCCTGGCAGCATGATCGGGGTGCTTCCCCGCGGCCGCGGCCGTCCTCGCGATGCCACCTACCCGAAATCAACGCTGCTCCCTGCCGTCAGCCGAGGCGACGCCGCCTGCCCTCCTACCCACGGTCCGCTGCCGCGTGCGGCTACGGCGGGAGGAGTAGCGACGGGGCCGAGGTCCTTCATGCGTTCCCGGATGGAGGCCATGATTTCGTCGAGGTCGTTGCTGCCTCCTACACTAAGGGTGTGTCGCCGAGATCGAGGCGAGCATGAGGAGCTGTGGCCACCGCCATGGTCACCCCATCGCAGGGGATGGAGCACGCCGTCGGCCTACAGCTTGTGGAGATCACTGTTGCTCTTCAGGTCGCGTGGTGACCGGATCTTGCCGATGTGTCCCTCCCCGGCGACCTCCTCTTCGCCCGGTTGGACGGCATGGATCTCGCCACTGCTGCCCTCAACTTCTTTGCCTCGAGCTCGACGGTCAGCCACCATGGATCCCCCAGCTGGAGGGTCACGTGAACCAGCCGTCCTCCCATGCTGCAGCGGCGAGAAGGTGACATGGCTCTCCGTACACGAAGAGTGGAGTTCAGTCA